CTCCCACGTCCCCCGCCCGGTGGTGGGGGGTGGGGGAATTTGGGGAATTAAATTTCCAGACATCTTAAAGTTGCTAAGGTTGAGAAACACTGATCTGGATATCTGGATAACTTTAGATCAGTTAGGCGATGGGAGCCACTTCAGTTTTGAAGCAGGAAGCAAGCAGAAGACTTTCTGCAGAGTGTTCTCCCTCCCATTACACTCACCGTGAAGCTGCTCCCCTGGCCCATTAAGACATTATGTGGATTAGGAAATCGAAAGAGGCTGGGGAGAGAGAGAGGTCAGAAGTCCAAACAGGCTGAAGAACTAACCAAAGGCAAAGGGAATCCTATCCATTTCTTCATTCGAGTCACACGTTATACAGCGATGCTTGTTCCTTTTACCCCTTGCAACCCTGTTCCCCTACTCACACACCAGATTCAGAAGCTGGATATAAATGAGAGAGAAAACTGAGCCACACACACCCACGCTCTCTCCTCCCATTCATCCCTCTGTCCGTGCAGATTAGCAATGGGAAAGGGGTGAGGACTGTAGAGCCTCACTGCTCTAGTGATTGTTAGGAAGCAACTGAACAGTGTGCATGTGGACGCAAGGGAAGGAGGAGAAGGTGGAACTGCAGTAAAGGTTAAATTTATCTGCAGCATGTCTCTCCACATACCCCCTCTGCTCAATTATTCTGAGCCAATCCACTAAGCCACACGGGAGTTTAACCCTTCTTATGCTGGCACATATGCACAGTTCCCAAAGCCTATCAGAAAGCATATATATGAGAACTAGAAATGTGCATAAATTACACTAAAAGATTTTGTGTCCTTTTTCTATGGTATTGAATGTACATAACATTTGATTGTCCTGCACAACAGCTGCTTGAATTCACATATACATACCTCTATAGACGCTGTTACAAAGCTTTTTTTTTTCCCCCTAACCTTCATTTACAACTTGGGTGGAAATGTTGGTTGTGGGGAGAGAAGGATTAACTTTCCATCCCAGCCCCCATCTCTCCCACATTACTCAGCTGATCAGCAGGCAGTTCCGGAGCAGGAAGAAAAGCAAGGCTGTAACCACACCCCTTTATTAGCAGGAGATTCTGCAGGTTCCCTAAAATTAGACTGTTGTTTGAATACAGACTGGCTGAATCAGGATGCCCATTCTTGAATTAAAGATAAAAGCAAGGACACATTTATTGAAAACTGCAGAATGATGGCGATTGTGCATAAAACTCAGAGCATATGCAAAATGTACAGCTGAGAGATGCTCAGTCCCCAAAGCCTATCAGAAAGCACATATATGAGAACTAGAAATGTGCATAAATTACACTAAAAGATGTTGTGCCCTTTTTCTATGGTATTGAATGTACATAACATTTGATTGTCCTGCACAACAGCTGCTTGAATTCACATTTTCTTTAATATCTATGCAAACTATTTGCCACGTTCCAGGGTTTCACATCTAACTGAATATATCAAGGATTGAGCCTTTCCACATGCAACTCATAAGCTCTATCTACCACCTCCCATTTTAATCGATTCAATGATCTAGCCTAATGAAATTTGAAAATATTTTTCCAGAATAAACCTTATCTATTTGGAGTCAACAGTGTGCAAGGTATTTCATGGCATGAATAAAGGTCTGTTTCTGGCTAGAGCTAATATAATACAGTAGTATAATAGATACCAAAAATACAGATGATGGGGTAAGAGTGCTTTATAATCAGAGCTAACTACCTAAAGAAAACATTAGAAAATTAATGAAGAACTCTTCATGCAAATAAAAAGAGGATCTCAGATGCAAAACGTACTTGACCTTTTACGGATTGACCAACAGCAAATCCAAGTGTGTCATTGTGTAATGTGTGATATCAGCTTCCTTATCAGGATGGATCAGGAAAGACTTTGTTGAAGAAGTGACTGAGGAAAATCGAAGACTCAGCCAGGCATAAGAAATGGCATGGATTGGGGTGAAGATTAGATGGCAAAGCAAATCTAGTAACAGGTGAGCTTGGATTGTATGAAACAATAAAAATGTACTGTATTTCCAAGACACATTAGCCTGCCATAGTTGTGATTCCTTCCGCTTTTTTATTTTGTAAAATTGCTTTGGAATCATCTCCTCACTACAAGCAGTTCAGTAACAATGCTCCACTTTGTTTTCATAAGCAATAAAAGAAAATTCACAACCTTAACAGATCATTTCTTATGGGAAGGAATTGTGCTCACACAGAGGAACAGCATGCAAAAACAGAAAGAAGAATTCAGGGAACTTGCAGATCACACCCTGAGTTCTTAAGCAATGGGGAAAAAATGAAACACATGTTGGTGAAGAAAGAGTCAGACTTCCCCAGATTTATTGAGCATTCAGAATGATAGCTATAGAACAAATAGAAGAACTTCCAGACAATATCAGCTGTTTATGAATGGAACAGATTGCCTTGGAAAATGATGGAGTCTTCTTTGTTATGATCTTTAAATTAAGACAAGAATCCTTTGCTGACAGGGGTCGAGCCATATGAGTTTTGAAGAAGGATTAGCCCATGCTTTGCTGTACATCCAGTTTTAACAGGTGGCATTTTGGGGCTGGACTAGGAAGTCGTATATTACTGCTAGCCAGTGTAAACTAGGAGCAAGCAGAAAGTAGATCCAGGCCTGATATAAATCCCTAGATGATTTGCAATAGATTAGCAACCATTTCTGACTCTTAGCCAATTAATAAGGAGACTCTTTTTTTAAAGCCACTGAAATGAAAACAGTTTAGGAGAAAATCAGGATGATTATATGAAAGAACTATTTGATCTGCTCTGGTATTGAAAATATATTCCCATGCTGAATATGTGCCAGAGGCATCTTGTTCCTTAAGTCAAGATGTGTCTCTATCCACTCCCACCCCCTTTAAAAAACAAACAATCCTGTAGCCTGAAGTCTGTCTATGCCATTGTAAACCATACTAAGCTGTATGCAAATATGGCTCAAAGGTTGATTTTAGAGAAGTCAGCTCCTTGGTTTCTGTGAAGTCTTTTCTAATTGTTAGTGTTAAATCTCAAATTAACATTTTATTTATTTATTTATGTGCCTTCGAGTCAGTGTTGACTCCTGGCAACTGCCTGGAGAAGTCCCTGCAGTTTTCTTGGCAAGATTTCCGAAGTGGTTTGCCATTGGCTCTTTCCTAGGGCTGAGAGAGAGTGACTGGCTCAAGGTCACCCAGCTGGTTTTATGCCTAAAGCAGGACTAGAACTCATAGATTCCTAGTTTCTAGCCTGGTGCTTTAACTACCACTGTACACCAAACTGGCTCTCTTCCAAATGAATTTATTACTAAACTAATATCATATGTTTTGCATTTAATATAGAACACAGAGGTAACCAAATTCCCTCCGGTCAAACAATATATGATACTAACATTTATGATGCTTATAATGTTCCACTGGAGCTTTGAAGGACACCTGGCTGATCACTTTCAGTGAGAAAGTGCTGCACTTAATGGACGCTTGGCCTGATCCTGCAACATTGTCTCTAGACAAGATTGAGGTAGAGATGGATGAATTTTGAAATTAAAAGAAGGAAAAGGGAGTTAGAAAGGAAAGAATAATGATGGACAGGATACATGTGAGGGAAAGCAATAACATTCCTTGGTAGAGTGCTTTACTTTTCATCCTATATGGGAATGACCATTTAGCAATAACCCACTAATGCGTGAGAAAGCACATGAGTGCACTCTCAATTGGAAAGGCCAGATCAATCTGTTTTTCATCTATGCCATTTTTTATGCTTCACAACTAGTCCATGGCATCCTATTTTTTGCATTAAAAAGAACAAACTGTAACAACCCTCCCCCCCCCCAAAAAGACACACTTTGCATGCAATTTGTAAACAAAGTGAACTTTTTCCTGGAGCTGTGCAATCTGAAGAATAACTGCACATATTCGCCCAAAAGAGTCCTCCCACCTAACTCAGG